ACACACGTGGGAGATGAACCCGAGATTTTTGAGTTTACAACAAGACCTGTCCGCAAATTACAAAAAATTCAACCCCTGGGCATAAGCCACGCACCATTGTCACATGTGAGCTCGCAAAACCAGCCAAAACTGTACCTGGAGTAAATGGCAAGGGCGGGTAGTGTGAACTGAAGCTGAATTTATGTTCTAGTAGAATCAAGGGCTGTTGCTTCTAACACATACGTCCCGTAGCTCCCCTAGCTAAATCGTACGACGAAAAGGCAGGCGTGGGGAAATCACAATGCGTTTTTTTTGCATCAGCAAAAAGCTTTAAAAAGTGAGGGAAAAACCGTTTTGACACACAGCATTCGTGAAGTGATAAAAGGAAAAAAGTCGGCGTTGCTTTCTACCTGGAAGCTTAATAACAATAACAGCGAGTTGAGCAAGGATTCTAGCGTTTAGTGTGAGTGGGATCACTTAAAATTACAACTTGGGGACTTCTTTCTCTTCCGTTTCTACGCCAAGCTGGGTCATCAAATGCGAGACCTTCGCGTAGAGGCTGAAAATTACACTGTCACAAATGTGATGTTCAATTGCAATAAAGGAGGTGGAGAGCGTGTCATAATTCCTGAACTGGTTTCCAAAGATAGTATGGATTAAAGTCGGGAAGGGAAGACTGCGTGGGAAGCTAGCGACACCTGTAATGAAGAGCCGGATAATGGGTTCGGATGCAAAGTACTAAGTGCAAATGAAGCAAGGGATGCCATGAGTCGTCGACGAGCATGGCATCAAGCGGTAGAGGAATGATGAAGGATTGAGCCACACAGTTTGATAGCTGGATTTAAATTTTGCATTTAAAAAAAAAAAGAAAAGAAACATACTTTTTATCTATTCCAACTAGCTGCTGACGAAATTCACGCATTTCCCACGCTTCCTTCCAAAGCTCCTGAGCTCTGTTACCGAGATCTTCAGGAAGCTTACAAACACGATCATCCGTTGCATCTGCTGGAATGAGTCGAGATGGAAGACGATAATGACAAGCAGAATATGGAAATCGCAATAGCATAATGTATTACGAAGCCAAATTTTCAGTCTATTTGATTGTCCGTGCCGACGCTGTTGTTCCTAAGTGCCAAATTGATTCAACGCAAAAATACATCCTGATTTCCCGAAGCTTTTACATTTCTGTTTAATACTGTCATCAGTACGCTGCATTCCTCACTTTGTATTAGTTCAATATTTTAGGAATTTCTCTTGTACTGGATACAGACAGTACGTCCCACTTTATCAATTATCGATTTTCCCTAAGTAACACGTCATAGGGTTGCTGGAAATTTCATTCAATATTTAGTATCACGTAACTCGGAGTAAGAACTGTCGTCTCCCAAACCATCCCGATCCTGTCCTGAGAAACCGTCTTTACAGACGAAAAAGAGTGGAAGTTATGTCAAAAGGAGTAAAATTTAGTCTAGAACACAGAAACCCGTAGCCTTAAAGCACAGTGGAAAATAACGTGAGTGCTGGGAACCTGGACAACTCTGAATAGTGCCAAACCTGAACATGCGTCAAATCAGTATAAATTAGTAGCAGAATGCGAGGAAGTGTGGTACCAGCTTGATCAAAGCAATGCGCTTTGATAAGAGGTGTTAAAACGGAATTCCAGTCCTAGGGCACTTCCCTGATGAAATGAGGGTGAATCTTTCCATCAGCCTACATAAAATTATTTCCAGCCAGATTCATCACCCGAGTAACCAAAATTACACCGGAGAATTTTCAAAATCAATTACTGAGACTTCCTCGCACCTGTACATTTTCGAGAGTTCAATACTCCCCAGATTTTTTGTGATGCTATTCTTCGGCAAAGAAAAGAAATAAGATTGGATGTCGATTTTGCTATCGGCTTACCTGAAAAATTTGCTGTCGTCATCTTTTCTTTCAAAGAGCCATCTGATGAAGAATTCGCTGAAGCCTGCAGCTCCGTCAAAGCGTTCGCTGAAAGAGAAAACACTAAAGCTCATGGATTCTTTAACGAATCTAGCGAAGGAACTGGATCAACCGAATCTGATGATGAAGGTTTCACAACACCTTGACCTTTCTCCAATGAGTCCGCCGATGAAAAATTCGACGAAGACTGCGGCTCCTTTACCGGATCTGCAGATGAACAATTCTTCAATGACTTCGGTATTTTGCTGTCAGAACCAGGTTCGATCACTGGAGGCGTAGAAAATTCAACTGAAACAAACAGACTCATCTAATCCAAACAATATGACAAATTTAACTCATTGTCAAAAAATCAAACCTTTCAGACAAAGACGACTTCTGTCTGTAATTACATTTTTTTTTTTT